GGGTTGGAGCCAGACAGAACTAGGACACCCATCTTCAGGCCAGTGTTTCTGTGTTTTTTTCTACCTTTGTTGTAAGATAATACACATCTAAATTAAAACTATGTGGCATAACACTGTAAAAGCCAAATCAGTTGAGGAAAGGAAGATGGATGGCTTTGAGTAGTCTAAAAAGAATTAAGGGAGGTGGTGTGATGTGGATGTAAGTATAAACAAGAAGGGGAGGAAGCAGAAGAATCCCACCAGTGAGAACCGAACATTTATTTTACACACGGGGCAGAAACAAAACCAACCAGCTGAACTTGAAAGGCACATATTGGGCAATGGCGAGAAATGAGGGTAGAGGGACTTGAAAGTGTGGGAGAGGAACTTGGGCTTGATGTGGTAGATCATGGGGAACTGTTCTCAATCCCTGAGCATGAAATGACACCATGAAAGTGGGATTAAGGAAGACTGTTTGCCAGGAGAACTGGATAGTGTCTGCATTTTTCTTTCTCACACTCTGTGTATTGGTCTTTTTTTTTTTTTTTTTTCCAAGTAGGTTAAACACTGTATTAATCAGAATAGGTTAGCTTATGTTGCAGCCGTGAAGTAACCCTGAAATCACAGTGGCTTAACCTGTAATGTGTTTCTTGTTTGCACCTCTTGTCTAATGCAGTTGGGTGGGGCATGGGGTTCTCACTTACTTATTTGGGGACTCAGGCTGACAAAGGCCACCATCTAGAACATTGCCTGTTGCTGTGGCCGAGGAGAATGCTGCCATCTCACACCTCAGGCTGGAAGTGACACACACCTCTTTTGTCCCAACCCATTGGTCAGAAGTAGTCACATGCTCTTCCTCCCCACCCCCAAGGAACTGGAGGATATTTGGTGAGCAGTGTGTGCCTCCTTCGAGGCTTTCTGAGGATCTGGAACATGTATGTTTACTTGTTTAAGAGAGAAGATATGATGATAAAGAGTACAGACCCTGGAGCCAGACCCCAGAATGTAGAGCCTGGCTCCCCCACTTGCTGATTGTGTGACCTTGGGCAAGTAACTCAATCTCTCTGGAGCATAGTTTCATCATCTGGAAAGTGGGACTGATAAATAGAACAAGCCTCACAGCATTCTTGTGAGATTCGAATGAGCACTTTGTATATGTAAAGTGCTTAAAGCACTATGCTGTGTAATTGTTAGCAAGTATTTATTGTTATTATTCATCATTTAATCTGCTGGCTTCTGGTACAGCATCCTAAAGGAAGGCTAAAGTTTCTGACTCGTCAAGAGGCCTGGGGGAAAGAGGTTGTAATAATTAGAGGTGTGATGGCCAGTGTCTGGACTAGGATGATGATAGCGGGCAAAGAAAAGATAGGCAAGACCGGTGCGGTGGCTTACACCTGTAATCCCAACACTTTGGGAGGCCAAGGCAGGTGGATTACTTGAGGCCAGGAGTTCAAGATCAGGCTGGCCAACATGGTGAAACCCCATTTCCACTAAATATACAAACAGTAGTTGAGTGCGGTGGTGGGCACCTGTGATCCCAGCTACTTGGAAAGCTGGGGCAGGTGAACTGCTTGAACCCAGGAGGTGGAGGTTGCAGTGAGTGAAGATTGCACCACTGCATTCCAGTCTGGGCAACAGAGCTAGACTCCGTCTCACAAAAGAAAGAAAGAGAGAAAGAAGGGAGGGAGGGAGGGAAGGAGGGAGGGAAGAAAAGATAGACGAGAGTGCGTGTAAGAGGAGAGTACCCAGGTAGGGATTTGTTCACCACCTGAATCCCATGGTTGAGAGAAAATTATCAGGTGTGGGTGACAGAGACCGCAAGTAGTTTGCAGAGAAATTCAAGGGCTTAAGGGAAAAGGTGAACTGAATTCAAATGTGGTGATGGGAAGATGTCTAAGACACCAGAGGCCATAGGAAAGGTAGGAGTAGAGCTCAGGCTACAGGTGGAACCTCTTAGTCAGCAAGTTTCAGTGAGTGGTGGCATGAATGCTCCAAGTCAGGCCACAGGTTCTGGGGCCATAGAGTTTGGGGTTGAACTGACTCTGCCACACCATGTGTCCTTGCTGCTGTAGTTTCCTCATCAGCAAGATGGGGATGGAGTCCTACCATCTCCTAAGGTAGTAAGGATTAAGTAAGATGATGCCTGTAGAGGACTTTGAAAGTGGCACGTAGTCAATGATTAGCAAAGTCTTAATCGAACAGAATTTGGGGGCTGTCTTTTAAGCAATCCACTTTTCTGAGTTTAATGAAAACTTTCCATTGGCAGCAGTTCTGATGAGTACTCCTGTAGTCCTCCCTGGGTTCAGAAAAATGGCCTTGTCACCAGGTCACTTGTAATCCACATGCTTTTCATTTTCTCATTCTTTACCCAAATAACCAGTGAGCAAATATTTTTAGCTATGCAGAGAATAAGAAATTACAATGGGCTGAAAAGTGACCAAAATAGACCATTTTAAGGGCTAATTTAAGGTCAGTGTTTCCCCTTCTAAAATCGCATCTCACCTTGTACTCATTGGTAGGAGCCACTGACTGCCCTTGTCTCTTGAAAGACATTATTTCTGTATTTAGAAAGAAATTATTTCTATGTTTAGTTTTAAATTGCCTTGTCGGCTAATTAGCGCTCTCCGTTAATGTGTCTAATTTAAATTACAGGATCTTCAAGGGTATATGCTTTATATTGTGTAACTGTCTACAGTTACACACGTGCGCTAGCGTATGTAATTGAACATTTAGGATATTTCTTTTCATTGAGAATTAAGAACTTCACAGATATGTCAGTAGGGGCCTTAGCATCTTGTTAGTAATAGTACAAAACACACTATTCAGTTAAATAGATATCTGAGGACCTTCAGTGTGCCAGGTTCTGTGGCAATGCTGTGTCTATAACAGAAGAGGCACTTGCCCTCACCAAGCCCACAGCTTAACCAAGTTTATAATCTATACCTATTGTTGGGTTATTTGTCCTGTTTAAGGATTATGCAGTCTGCTAGCCTGTAATAAAGCAGTTGAGGCTTCCAACACCTTTTCAGTGGCCACATGATTGATTTGTCTTGTTTATGGCTATCATATGGAATTGGGGTTACATTCCTGATGCTGCCTTTAATTTATCAGGATGCCTCTTCTGAACTTAGGTTTCTTTGTAAAGTATAGGTCACACTGTATGCTCAACCTGTTTCACAGGATTGTAGAAAGGAAGATGTTATATAATGTATGGACCATTTTATGAATTATTGACCTCTTCACATATACATGATGCCATTTCTAAAACACCTGAGACTATTCTATTTGTACTGTACTCTCACTGAACAGTCAATGCATTTACACTGATCCAAACTAAATAGCTTTAATAAAGTCACCTTCTTTGTTCTGTAACAGAATATAACAATTATACAGCACTGCCCTGTTCTCCAAGTTGACCGCCTGGTTAGGGGAATGCCCCAGAAATAAATTTAAAGCTAACTAATAACAAGACAGTAAGAGGGTACCCACAGCCATGTATGAACTATGGCTTGGTGAGTGGCATGGGCAGCCTTTAAGGGGAGTGATTAGCTAAATTCTATTGGAGTACCAACTTTTAAGAAAACATTAGTTGGAGATAGGATTAGAGTTTACCTTTTTGGAAGTATGGTTACTGATCACTGGATGAAATCATTTATATAGATTTGTTGTATAGTGGAGGGAGGAGGCAGAATACTGCACAGATGAAAAAATGTATTCTATTGTCAGTTGTCAGAGGTATTTACTCTTGTTTGCAGGATCTTAAGAATTGACTCCATTAGCCCAGAGAGAACTCTTGCCTACCTAAGACAGTGAGTTGGCTCATACATCCCAGAAAGCGTCTCTACACCAATGTAGTCACAGAACCAGGGCTCCACACAGAGGCTCTGAAATGGAGGAAGCTCTCTTTTTGGTTTTCCTTTAGTAGTCTTCACAATGGTTCCTCTTTAGAGACCCAACTCAGATCTCTAAACCTAAGTGCTATCTTACATGAAATTTGTTGTTTTGCCCTTTCTTTTCCTTCACTTGGGAAAGTTCAGAGGTGGAGTGAAGGAAAGGCACTAAGATTTGGACTTTCATCCATGCGGTCTCACCTGTCTGCATAAGATGTTACAAAGACCAGTGCCTATCTTTGACAGTGGCTTTAAAGTCAGGTGGCTCTTTGTGAAATTAATGCAAATCTGAACATATTAGTAAATGGTATTGAGTCAACCATGAAGATTAATTTTCTTACAGAGTAAAAGTTGAGAATGAGTAAGACAGGAGCTTTAAAGAAAATATTCTCAGGATATAAAGTCCAATAAAAATTTCAAGCATAACAGAGTAGACCTCCTTTCTGTTAAAAAAAAAAAAAAAAATTAAAGTATGACTCAGAATTAACATTTTTTTTCTTTGTCTGCCATTGTAAAACTTGGCATCATTCCCAGCAGAGAATACTGTATTGGGGAAGTTTTGGGGATAAAACAAATTTGAATTGGCAGACCAGTTGACTACTTGGAAAGGTCATGCTATTTATACACAGATATTCATTTAAGCAAGTATATAATATTGTAAAGAGTCCTAAGAATGCTTAATTTTGTAAGTTTGCATTTTACTCTATCATATTTAAGCAAGTAGCTACTATATTTTTCCCTGCTCCTCACGTACCCCCCTCCTCTTACTCGTTAACTCAAACCATTGAAATACAGATGCAGGGTACTAACAACTTGGGGGAAGAAAAGAGAAACGATCCCCTAGCAATCCCAAGGAAACCAATCATATATGCTTGTCTTTTATTCTCAAGATGAATTTAGCAGGTAGACCCTCCTCTCAATAGGTAACTCCATATAGTCTTTTTCATATTGCTAAGCAGAGGTCCTTAAAGACTATGCTGGCATCTCCGGGAAAAGCTCAGTGCTTTTATTGTCTCAGTCATCACCATCGTGATTTATAATGTTGCAACTCATATCTATCTATTGCCAGTTATCTTTTCCCTGGAACTCCCACTGATAGTTGACAGTGAGCATTGAGGGACAGACTCATCATAACTTTGCAGCTTCCTGCTGTTTATTCCAAAAGAGTTATTTAACAAAGTTTTATGACTCAGAACAAAACAAAACAAAAAACTGGTGTTATTGAGGGAATTAAATCTAACATTGAGAGAAATATTGATTTAAGAAATATGTTACAAAAAAAGTATGTTACAGTATTAACATCTGGCAATATATAATCTATTCAGTCCTTTTTCTTTTGCCATTTGTTGGCAAGAAATATTAATAATTAATTTTTTATTAAAAAAACTTTTTACATTGAGAATTATGCAGATAACCTCCTTTTGGTATATTATTTCATTTACAAATAAAAATGAAGTATTTATTTTCATTTTTATTTTGCTTTTTGTTGTTTGCTTTATGTTGTTCTCTTGAGCTTACTTCTGAGTTGGAGATGGGAAAAGTGCCCAATGAAAGAAATATGAAGAATCCTAATTTAAAGCCAAACAATTAATTTGGTTTATAACAAAAGTCCGGCAAAGTTTGTTGTACAGTTTACTTCTCCATAAACCAAAATTTAATCCATTTCACTTTCCATTTGAAGACTTGGAATGTATCATCATCTGCGTTTCTGTCATTTCACGGGAGTTTTCTTCAGGAGCCGACTTCACAGCACTAGAAATCGATACACTGACTTGCCGTTTCAGCATCCTCATAACNTACATGCAAAGAAATAGATAAAAGGGTCCATGCAGCAATTGAAGTTCATCAGGCATACTGTAAAGTGCAGAGAAATCTGGAACGAATGTCTTTGGCTACACTCCAGGAAACTAGAGAAATGAAGCTTCTTAATCATATGTTGAATAATTGCAACATGGTAAGGTGTGAAACAGAGAACAAACACAACAATAATAAGAATAATTGTGTTGAGAGCCTTTTTGTTTACACCAGATTTCTCAGTGAGTGGGTTTTGTTTGGCAGTTTTAAAGAGTTTGCAGCAGATCTGAGAATAGCAGATGAGAATGATTATAAGTGGAAGTACATATCCTATGAAACATGCCCCAAGCAGAATCCAAGGAAGAGATTTTGTTTCTTCAAAGTTTGGATACTCCATGCATGTAATCCTTTCAGTTTCCTGCTTTGACATAGGATTGATGAGGAGTGGGAGTGTCTGAGCAAATACTAGAATCCAAACAAATATACACACGCCTTTTGCATGTTCAATCCTCTTTATCTTATTGTAACGTAGAGGGTGTACCACAGCAATGAAACGGTCAATACTCAGGCAAGTCATAAAGTTCACACCTGCATATGTGTTGATGTAAAACACTAGCGCAGTTATCCTACATAAGGCATCTCCAATTCTCCAGTCAAAGCCCATGGCATAATAGGCTATTCGTGTAGGCAAAGCAGTGGTAAAAAGTATATCAGAAATCACCAGGTTTGTTGAATAGAGGGTGGTGGAGTTGATTTTTTTTCTGTTTTGAACAATGACGACCAAGGCTAGTAAGTTTCCCACAAGCCCAATGATGAAGACAAGACTGTAATGCAGAGGCATTACTATCCTGGCCGTGCTGTGATGTGCATAGAGGTCACAGTCATTTCCCTGAGGAGTTGTAGAGAGCGTAGTGAAATTGTTAGCCATTTGTATATCCATTGGTGGTGGTCAGGGTGTCTAGAAAAAGCCAAGAAGGGTCATTTAAGTAAAAGCGTATATATTCAGTTTGATTACTCATTAGTTTAAAAAATTTTTAATAATGTATCAAAGCAATCCAAACTATCTTTTATATAAGTTTTAAATTTTCATGACTTGAAATTTTTAAAAATCTGTGATACATAATAATATGGTTACATATATGATAACAAAGAACAGAATAAAATTTATGCTTTTACTCTCACAGTTTGCTGACTTTGTCAAAGCTCTGGCAAAGGAAACAGAACCATATAAATAGGGCAAATGCATTTTTGCGACAGAAGGGAATGCACTAACTTTTTAGGCAGAAATTCCCCGTCCCTTTTCTGAATCATTGGTTAAGTAAAGCACACCACATTTCAGACAGGCGTTAAACTTTGCTTTTAAATTGAATTTCAGTTGGACCTTTTTTTTTTTTAACCAAATGCATATCACTGCCAGGAAATGAAATCAGTCACCACATTTATGTAGTGAAATATGAACTTACCACAGTGATCTGATTTGTGTTAACCTAAAAGTCTGAGAAATAAGCTTAGTCTATGTTAGGAACTGAAAGTTAAGATTTTCTTTTTAAAAAGAAGAAAAAGAAGAAGACCACAACAAACAAGATTAAAATAAAAAAAAAAAAAAAAAAAAAAGAAGAAGAAGAAAGATAAAATGAGAGAGAAAAAGACTTCAGTTACTTCAAGGGGAAATTATTCAATTTTAAAATTCTATCAATCTGCAAGTACTCCGTGGATGAATGCAATCTACACTTCTACATTTGACAGTAGCAAGCATCACACATTGTGTTTTGTTTCCTGCTTTATTCACTGAACATCTTCATGTCAGTGCAATCTACATCTTTGTCATATGTGTAGATTTTATATAAACATTTGATAGATATTCTACAGTCTTCCAGTATATTGATGCATAATTTGCTTAGCTACTCCCTTGATAAACTTTTGGATTCTTTCCAATTCTTTTCTTGTTATAAATAATGTTAAGACAGAAATTTCAAGTCCTAAATTGAAAAACGGAAAACTCCTGCAATAAAGCTCCATAGATGAGAGTAAACTTAAGAGCAGAGCATTAAATCCTGTGTAATTATTTTTAGAAGGAAAATAATTCCTCTAAAAGAACTGTGTGTACATAAATCTCATCTGGAAGTCACTAAAATTAAGAGGCACTTTCAATGTACCTAGTGATGTTGCTACTGTATGTTTAAGGAAAGAGACTATCCCTACCCTGATCAAAAACACTGTCTGCAAATCTGCTTCTCTCCCTGTGTATTAAATGAATTGGATCTCAGCTAACTTCATTCTAACAACCTTAAAACTGTGATGTTCATAGACACTTGAGGGTTATCAGAGGATTGTGGTCATGCTGTGTTAGAAGTATGCATTCTGTACAGTGTTGATAGGTTAATCATTATAACCTAAATGGAAATGTAACCTAAAGCAAAAGAGAGCAAAAATGGAAATAAACATTTTATTATCCAATGGGGAAAAAAGCAAAGAATGAGGAAGTGTAAAACGCAAGAGGGTAGGGATGTGTCATAACAAACTTAAATGGGTTGAGCTTGCCTATTACAGGTCAGAGACTATCAGTTTAGATTTTAAAGAAATCCAGCTGTATGCTGCTTAGAAGAGATTATAGCTCAAAATGATTGAGAAAGGTTGAAAATAAAGGCAAGGGAAAATACATGCTAGGCAAACCCCAACCAATAAAAAGGTAGAATGGCAATATTAACTTCAGAGAAAATAGAATTAAAGGCAAATTCAATATTAATAGGAATACAGAGAGTCACTACAGAGGTTAAAAAGAACAGTCTATAAAGAACATAAAAATAATCATGAAATTTGCATATAACAGCAAAATTTGACAGAATTTAAAGGAGAAATTGGCAAATCCACAACCATAATGGGAGATCTTAACACATTTCTATTATAATGTGTTAGATAAAAAAAGAGATTAAAGATTTAGGAGATTTACTCAACATGAATTAAAGCTAACAGAACTTGTACTGAAGACACATGAGTACATATGCAAATTCGGCCATGTGCTAGGTCACCAGAAGACTCAAAGCTTTCAGAAAATAATTATTTTCTGATCACATTGCTTGACTACAGTGCAGCTAAATTATAAACCAATGATAAAAAGATAAAGGATAAGTTTGGAAATGAAAACAACTCATGAGTTAAAGAAGAAATCACAATGGAAATTTTGTGTTGATGCATAATTTGCTTAGCTTCTCCCTTGATAAATTTTTGGATTCTTTCCAATTCTTTTCTTGTTATAAATAATGTTAAGACAGAAATTTCAAGTCCTAAATTGAAAAATGGAAAACTCCTATAATAAAGCTTCCTAGATGAGAGTAAACTTTGATAAAAGGAAGAGCAGAGCAGTAAATTCTGTGTTCTTCTAAAGAACTCATGGGTTAAAGAAGAAATCACAATGGAAATTTTAAAATGCTTTGAACTAAATGACAGAAGTACTACCTGTGAAAACTGTGGGATGCAGATAAGGCAATCTGAGGTAGATATAAAGCCTTGAATGCATTTATTTAAAAAAGAAAAGATTTAAAATAGATATGTTAAATATACAGTTGAAGAAGCAAGAAAAGAACGATTTGCCCAAAGCAAGTAGAAGAAAATAATTGAGATAATTGCAAAAATTAATGAAATAGAAAACAAAAGATAAATATCAATTTTATATTTTGCACAGGAAAAAAAATTGGAGTGGTTCTTAGACAATCATAGGGATTGCATTGTGAAATAAAAGTAGGAAAAGCTTTTTCCATTTAGTTGGGAAAGGCTTCGTGTAAGAAGCAGCTTTTCAGGAGCTAAGACTAGACACAGGAGAGGTGAAAATTCCAGGCAAGGCTTTCAGCTTTGGCATAGGCAACGAGAACTAAGTTCGGTGAAAAATGTTTTCTTCCAAAAATCTGAATGTATATTTTTGAGTATTTCTAAGCAGATTCATGGGAAATGACTTTAAAATACATGGCAGAAAAAAAAATACTACTGTAGAGTCTGCGAATCCTCCATATGAATAATTATTACTGTAGAAATTAGGAAAGTGACACTCAGGTAAGACTCAGAGAATAAGGTGCCATTGCTTGCCAGTTTGTATACAAATGCGCGTTTGACTGCATCACCAAATGAGATGCAGCATCTAGTAGAGCCAGAGATTGCAGAAGTTTCAGAACAAAGTTCAAAAATGTTTAACATAGTTTGCAAACAGTTCAAATATCCTTCATTAGGGGATTAAATATTTTATGGCATAGCCATGCAGTGGAATACAGTGCAGCTACTGAAAATGGCAACAAAGATGGCTGTTTCTTGACTGGGAATTATGTTAAGTGAGGAAAGCAGATTGTATATACAACACACTTTTTTGGGGAGTGGGGAAGCAAATACAAACACACACACGGATGTCTGCATAATTTTGTATGAGTAATTTTGGGGCTTTACCCATATATTCTAGATTTTTAACACTGAACATTTCATTCAAAATGTTCATTTCTGTTCAGTTTATTGACTGAACTGAATAAATAGGTAAAAAAATTTAATCAATGGAAAAACTTTTAGTTCAGCTCTTCTTGCAAAAACCTTGTTATCTGACATGCTGTTCAAAGTTTGCCCTTCAGTGTTCCTTTTTCAGATTTCTGCATTAACTTACTAGGTGCCTACCTTTGCATTGTGTCATCATAAAGAAACCTCGTAACAGCCCTGTGAGCTGAGCATTGCTACCCTTACCTACTTCCCAGGTGATGAAACTGGGGGTCCGAGGGGGTTAAAGGCCATGCCGGATCTTTCTCTCTGATGACCTGGCTTCAGGTTTCCTCCTCTTTTCAGTCCTTTGCACTGGCAGCAGTTTCATGCTGCCTTTAAAGACCTGTGAGCTTGTTGTTTGAAAGTGGTCTAGGCTCTAGGGGCCATCCTCACCTGTGATCACAACATATGCACAACATGGCCCAGCTGCTCTAGAGCAAAGAGACAACTCCTTCTAAGGGCAGGGGGTGCCCACTTCCAGGAGAGGTGCCTTCCCAAGTGGGAAGCCACTCGTGGCCATACATCATTGAGTCTCAAGGGGTAGCCTGTTGAGGGTCCTTACTGACCACCATTGTGCTGGAGGTGGCCAAAGGCATTTGCAGAATGTGAACATGTAAGTGGGATTGCTTGGAAATGATCTTAGGTAAAGGAAAATGCATGCTTTGGACATTTGGCTGTTTAGTAACCTCTTGGAGGATGATTCCATTAGGTAGCTCTGATATGTTAATACTCTAATAAAGTTAATACTTTAGTTCTTGCTTATATTTATCCTGTCATTAATGCAGTAGTTTCAGCCAATTTTATGATTTCCAAATTGAGAGGGAAATCCTTTCATATGCATGACTGTTGTTATCGCATTCTTATATCAGCCAGTCCCAATTTATTATAATCTTCCTCAGAGATATCACTTTTTATCTTCCTTTCATCATCTTAAGGATTCCCTTCTAAAACTTGAATTAAGTCCTTTCTTTTATTCAGCAGAAAAATGACTGTTAGTGCCTCCATGTGCTAGATCCTGGCAATACAGAAATGGTACCTTTTTGTATTAGAGGGTCTAGAACTCAAAGGTGAATTTATAGCGTTGAGCATGTGCTGTTATCTGAATGAAGTGTTCCTCAGGAGTCTTTCACATGCATAGCAGTATGTACATAGCAATATTCTGCTCACTTCTTGCATTACAGTGTACCAGTGTCAATATTTGGATAGTAACATTATCTTTTAATCATTTTCAGGTAGAAAAATTATTTATTCTTAAATATATTTTAAATATTTTACATTGTAATTATTATTAGGCAGCAGCTTCTGACATGTTATTTAAGATATGTATATATACAATGAGGTACACCAGAAAGTATTATCATTTATCATATTGCCTACAGAAAAGCCCAAAGAAATGTTTGTTCTAAGTCTTTTTTTCTTTAGAACACTAATATCAGAATTATAGCT